CCTTTCCACCAGCTCCCAGGGGAGTTCTGTTAAGCCCGCCCCTGCCACCCACTGTCCCCATTTCGCCTCCGCAGTGCACTAGAAATCCTGGCCAGAGCCCACGGCAAGGAAAACAAACAGCAGAAGGACGGAAAAGGGCGACAGAAGACGATCTTGAGGGATCAGAACGGAACAGCCACGACCGGGTTCCAGATGACTCACAAAGCGGTGATAATGAGCGCAAGTCTGGGGCGAGAGTGGACAAACAGGCCAAGGGGACAGGGTCGAGAAAGAGACCCAGGGGACAGTCCCCTGACTGATGACAAACACGACACAGCACAGAACGGACGGACCACCTTCCCAACCAGCTGTGATGGGGCAGCCGGCTGGCCTCCTGGTAACGGCGGAAGCTGCCTCCGCCCCGTCACACACGGACGCCCTCCCGGCAGACGGCAGACAGGACGCCAGCCCGAAGGCAGCTCGGCAAAGCCTCCGGAAGGCAGCACGGGAGGCCAGGGAGGCTGCAGAAAACCCGGGTGGAGAAAAGGCTGGCCTGGCGGGAGCGCCCGTCCAATCAGCTCATCACTGGGCAGCCCCTGTGGTGTCAGGTCAGGCCGCAGACTAGGGGAAAACTGACAGAACGTTCCTGAAACAGAACTCATATCAGAAGTACACGAAGTACTGTAAATCAATTTGAACATGGCAAACAGCCCAACGGGAAATGGATGAGAAATGAGCAGGTGTTTTACCAAAGAGCAATGCAAATATCCAATAAACGTTGGAAAAGGCGACCAGCTTCACTAGTCGTGACTAGAACGGCGAGCAGATACGACCAGGACAGACAGGGCCGGGCAGTGGCAAGGGTGTGGGGCCACCAGAGCGGACAAGGGTGCCGCGTGCTGTGGCCACCGCACAACACAAGCAGAACTGAAGACACAGACACCCACGAGAACGCTCAGGGCAGGGGCGGGACACACGGAGAATAAATGGCAATCGATAAAATATATAATAAAGATTACATTTTTAAAAAACCCATAAAGCTAAAAAAAAGAAAAAGTTCAGGGCGAAACCTAGAAACCACCCAACTGTCCCCTGAAACAGTGAGAGCTAGCAAAGACTCGCAGCTGACGGCCCAAAAGCCCGTCACAGCGCCTGGCACACACAGGGTTCGCCCCACCCAGCGCTGTCCCAAGTGTCCCTTCCCGGCACGTGACAAGTGGACACTTATCACTCGAGATCAGTGTGATCTCAAGCGCATCCCAGTGCCCCTCACCTCACAGACACCACACCCAAACCCTCCCGCTGCCCCGATCCAGCCCCGGCCTGACCACAGTGCTCCCCTGGACACCGCCCTGGAGCCCTGAGCGCCCCCCCACCCCACTTCCTGACCTTCGGGCCCTGAGCAAACGCACCGCACAGACAGGGCATCCCTCCTCCGTCCCCTGCTCAGACCCCCATGCGCTGTGGCACCCTCCCCTGACTCTCTCTGCCCAGCCCTGCAGAGCACACCCCACCGGACATCTTTAACGGGGCTGCTCTGTGTCCCTGCCACCAGCACACCATCCCACGAACACCAGGGCTCCCTCTGTTTTGTTCACTACCGGCCCCGCAGCAGAACACGGCCGGCATGTGACAGCCACTCGATCAGCATCTGTCGGAATTAGATGGCTCGGACTCAGGGCTTGGAGAGAGGAGCTACCGTGCGGGACCCATAGCGGGCAGCTCCTCACCATGAGAAATCGGAAGCCTCCACAAGTTAGTCTTGCTTCGTGAACATTTTGAAATATGTGCTCAATGCATTTACCTCCCCAGGTTCTACATCAAGAAAGTGTAAGTCATTCCAAAACTCTGAGTAAGAATTACATGAGCCACTCAATAAGTACAATGAAACAACAGGTGATATTATGCTCATGAGTTTTCCAAAAGTTACTATTTTCCTACAAATAAACTTATAAAAACAACAGTACACAGTTCTTTTTCCACATTACAATAAAATCTCAGTAATTCTGCTACTGAAAGATAACTGATTCTGGAGATATAAAATGCTGATATTTCAGAAATATCACCTCAGCCAAGAAACCAAGATTTCAACAGAACGTAATTCGTAGGTAGAACAAAACATAACGAGCTCTCGGTAGGAGGAAGCTTCCCGAACAGCCGAGAGGCTGCACTGCAGTCCGGATCCGAACGTCTACGGCCGACTAAGGAGCTTCGGTTTTCCACCAAGTCTGTCACTATCAGTAAAAACAGAATTGGTCAAAAGAAAAAAATGTTAACCCAAGCTCCCTCTTGTCCCTGTATCTTTTGACAGAGAATTGAGAGTAAACAAAACTTCCAAGGAAAAAAGAAAACGGAAACAAAAACAAATGGAGAATGGACGTTGGGATAAACTGTATCCATCAGCTCTGGAAGCACCAAGAAATAAACCTGCCTGCGGCTTCCAAGAGCCATCTCTCAGGCACAGAAAGCACTTAGCAGTTAAAGATACAACATCCCAGTTTTTACAAGAAGGAACGAACTGTTACCAACATCCTTTCTTGAAAAAGACTAAAACCCCACCCAATTTCATTCACTTGTAGGTAAACTGAGAAAGGAAACTGCTTTGGAAGCTGCAGTGGCTGCCGTGTGTAAAGGGGTGACACCAGTGTGCACAGGCAGACCTGCGACCACATGGCACACACTCTTCCCTTCCACTGCCTGCACAAGGCACTCACGTAACCAAGCCCCTAGTGCTGGGTTTGTTTCTTCTTTAGTATAAGCAAAGCTGCGAGGAACTGCTGCACAGTGTCTTTACTAGATCAAAAAGGCACGAGTGGAAGGCCCGGTATGGGTGTGATGGATGAAAACCACGTTAAAACAGCTCTCACGGTCCATTCACTACAGATACGGTCACAGTGGGGGTCGTGCGTGGCTCGCTCGTGCCCCTCCTGCCATTTCCCCTTGGGTTTCCGATTTATCGCCCCTGTTGTGTGTGCTCCAAGGGCAAACAAGGACAACACAGACAGGGACCTCGGTGAACCCTGCCACGCTCCTCGGCAAAACTCATCGCAAACCCACAAACCGCAGACTGAGGAGCAAGGCCTGCCCGCACCGCCTCAGCCCCTCTCCACCGAGGCTGCAGAGGACCCCCGTGCCCCCACCTTAAGGGGGCCCTGCCTGTGAGGAATCCGGCCAGGCACCTCCCTGGGGGCAGTACCTCCCTGGACAGCGAGGCCAGGCCAGGCCCAGCTGCACCACTGTTCCTAACTGCCACGGCCCCACGCCCTGACCTCTCTCCGCTCACTCAGCTCCTGCGGGCAGCCGGGCTGAGTAAGGTCCCCCACAACCAAGCTGGACACCGACCACTGACCAGGGGGAAGCTCTCCAGCACTGAACCATTCAGATGCAGCTGCCTCTCGGGTCCCCGGCCCATGAGCACAGAGGCTTTACAACGCAGCCTCATCTGCTCCTGGAGGGGCCGCATCCTGACGAGAGTGACCGCAGGCAGCATGACAGACACACGCACACACCTATGGGGAGTGCCCACACTGGCACCGAGACACAGGACAGGGACCTGGGGGCAGGGTCCACTCAAAGCAGCCAGCCACCCAGGCTCCCACAGGATTGAACCCCAAAGGCAGTTTTCAGATCTAACTGGACACCACCCAGAGGGCTGTTCAGAGCACCCCACACAGATCCCACGTGTTCCAGACACATTGGCATCACAGTGAACCCAAGAACGTCTCTGTTTAATGCGCCAAGGGAGGCAGCGGGCCAGGTCTGCAGGGTGCAGGCCCACACGGCGACTGAGGCCACCAGCACTCGGGAGCACCGCCGTCCAGGGTCAGCTTCACCGTTTCTACAAGAACAACAGTGTAAATAGCTGCGCCAAAAACGGACAAACTGGTTTCACAAAGAGCTATCTTTTCATTGTTGTTACTTTTTCCTTCAAGAAAATGAAGATCATTAACGTCTTATCACTTAAACATGCCAAACTGTGTGAATTTTTAAACCTCCACCTAGAGAAAAGCCAGGTTTAAAACCCAACAATTGTCTCTCTAAAGAAAAATGGCTCAGAAAGCGCCAACGCGCACCCTGAGGGAGGCCCAGCAGCACAAGCAGGAAAAACGCCTGCAACGGGAGGCCCCCGAGCCAACGAGGGCTGGGTATTCGTTTTGTTGTTTTAGGGGCTATGAAAACTCCCCCCCCCCCGCTGACCTGACTGCACCTGGGGGCCGCACCTGTGTGCCAGGCCTGTGAGGAGGAGTCGTTTCTGCACAGGGACGTTCAACACAAAACGGTCAGGGGCTCCTCCGTTGGGGTTTAGAAACAATTTCCTCGCCCTTTCCACCTGGATCCTGTCTCGCAGGATGACACAGGGCATTTTAAGTAAGTTAAATGTTGCTTTTCAGAGTCAGGATTTCAAACTTTCTGGAGAAGGTGATAAACACTGGAATCTCCAGAATCCAAAGGGAAAAATCTGAGGTTACGCAGTAGCGCTGTGCTGCTTCAGTGGGGTGCGGGCGTCTTCGCAGACAACCCCGTTAGGAAACGCGAAACTTGCCTGCCCCTCGTTGGCGGCGTCCGGCCCACGGACCACCCGACTGAAGTTAAAACGCAGTCGGGGGGCATCTCCGCGGCCCTGCGCTCCACAGCGGGCACTGGAAGCGCACCCGCGGCTCCATCACAAACCAGATAAAAGGTTTAAGGGCGAGGATACAGAGTATACACTTTTGCAACCACTTCCGTTGACAGCGTGACCCGCTTTCACACGTAAGTGACGCGGAGGGTCGCAGCCCTCTCCGCTTCCCCGCCCCCTCGGAGGTCAAAGGGCTGCAGACAAAAGACAACACGAGCACGTGACAAAAGTTTCTCCCGTCACTTTCTCCCTCGCGGCCTGGAGACTGAGCGCTTCCCCTGCGCGGGCTGGGAGCGCGCCGGACCGCGACGGCGAGGCCGGGCCGAGGGGGCGGGCCCGGGGCGGGGACGCGGGCGCCCCCCGGAGACTCGGCGGAAGCGCGGGCCGGGCCGCGGCCTGTTACCTTTTCCTGCTCCTCGCGGAGCCGCGCCACCTCCGGGGCGCGCAGCGGAGCCGGGGCCAAGGCCTCAGCGGCGGCAAGGGGCGCGGGGTCCGGCGGGGCCTCCATGGCGGCGTCGGGGCCTCAGCGGGGCGAACGAGTCCTAAACAAGTGTTTATGGAGGCGGCGTGGCCGGCGGCTGCCCGGCGCCCGCGTGCTCGCCCTCATGCACTGCGCGCCCCGCTCTGAGGAGGCCTCGCCCGCCTGCTCCGCCGCGGCTCGCGTCCCGGCTGCCCAACGCCGCATCTCACACGTGCATGCCGCCCGCCGCCTGCCGCCCGCCGCCGCCGGCTCCGAGCAGCAGGGAACCCGGGAGAACGGGAGGCGCTGTCCGGTAGCCCAGCCGAGCCTGGCGTCCCGCGGCGGCGAACTCCCGCGTAGCTCCGCCCCTCGCCCCGCCCCGCGCGGCACGCCGGGAAGCGCGCGCGGCCCCTCCCTCGCCCCGCCCCCGACGGTCACGTGGTGCGCGGCTGCCGGAGGCCGAGGCTGCGCGCAACCCTACCGTGATGCTTGCGTTCTAATCGGCGTCCGTGCACCGTGAGCGTCCCTGGACCCGGGCGCAGACTGAGCCTTGCGCCCCACAGTCCCGCCTTCCCCCACCCCGGGCGTTCAGGGCTGCATCTCATGCACTTCGTTCCTGCGCTCGGGCTGCCGCTTCAGCCGTTCAACTATAGCAGGTGCAAACCGTTCCCGTTGAATGAGTTAAAAGATGCGATTATATTTGCATGTGTATTAATTACGGCACACATTCTAATGTTCCCTTGTCTAAAGCTACGGTACTTATAGTAATACATAGTTGTGTGTGAACAAAACTTTTTTTTCTCGTTCTAGTATTCCTGGGCTCTCTTGGTCCTGCGGCCACTGTACCCAGCAGGCGCCTCGTGAACGCGTGTGCATGGAGGTGGCCTTGCACAAACAACCACTCTGCGCCAGTCCCCAACGGGAGCGATGGCCCCGTTCCTTCCTCGTGTGCAGAGGGGAGTGCGCCCGCAGGCAGCTGCACCTGACACCCTGGGCTGCCCTCCTGGCCCGTGCCCATCCTGAAACACCCTTTTTCCATGTGCTCCAAACAGAGGAAGGAGGGCAACTTGGACGGAGAGGATCCACGTTGATGGCCCCCTTCCTCCCTGCGGGTCCCACCTCATCACTGCCGAAACAGCCCTGAGCGCCTTCTCCACCACCCTCTCTCCATCCTCAACCACCTCAAGAGCCTCTCCCCTGGTCTCCCTGCTTCCACTCGTGCCCCCGTGATGGGCACTGGCTGCTGCCCGCCCCCGCCCCACCACCCTCATGCGGGTGATCAGCCCCACCCCTCCCAGCTCCTGTGCCCGTGGGAAGCTGGCGGCCCCCAGACCCAGTCCAAGGGAGATGCACTTTCTCTGTGCCTGGTTCAGGAGGGGGCATGTGACACCCCACAAATACAGGTTTTCTGGAGGCTTCTGCAAAAGGTCTTCCTCCTTCTTTGGGGACACTTCCATGAGAGCCTACCAGTCCCTTGGCGGGAAGCACCGAGCAGGTAGCCCTGTGTGTTTCGTCCAGGAAGACCGCCTGGACCACGCCCAAATCTCAGACGGAAGTTGAGTCTGTGGCCGGCAGAGCCCCAGCGCCCCTTCCTAGGCTGAAGCCACCCACGCTGGAGCCCGCATTACCTCCAGACTTCCGGTTTAAGACAACAGTGAATTTCCTGACTGGTTACGGCAGTTTGCACCAGGAGTTCCATCCCTGGCCGCCAAAGACACGTGGCTCACACACCCCCAGTCTATTCTCAGCTCGACGCCAAGGCCGGAGTGGGCTTTTGGTAAGGACCCAGACCTCACTGCAGCCAGGAAACCCAGGGGCCCCACTGGAGCTCTGCGTTCTCTACCCGAGGTCCCCACCTCCTGCGAGCCCCCGCCTCCCAGTCTCTCCTTCGGACACTTTCCACCAGTGTCAGCCTCGGGTCCTTGTACTGGCCAATCCTTCACCCGCAAGACTTCCTCCGGATCTGTGCGTACCAGCTCCTTTGCATCACTCGGGCCTCCATCTAAATCGCCAGCCAGGCCTTCCTGCTTTCCTGCCCCTAGAAGCCCCTCCCTGCTCCTGGGGCATCCACAAGGGCCTCACTCTTTAAATTTTCCTCCTAGCAGAACAGCAGAGTAATGAACTCCACCTTTCCATGGTCCATCTTTAACAATCACTCACTCACAGCCGATTTCTTTCATCCCAACCTCCCTACCTCCTTGTTCAGAAGCAAATTCGCTACTTTGTATCATTCTACTTGTAACTCAGCACAGGTCTCTAAAAGGTTAATACTTTTTGTAAAAATACAACCAGAATATCATCCAACCTAAGAAAAATAGTTACAATAATTCCTTTTTTATTTTGCCACGGTGTTTTAACATATCTACTCTCTTGACAGATGTTCAAGTCACAATATCGTAAATGTGTTATAGAACAGGTCCCTAGTGCTTCCTCATCTGGTGCAGTTGAGACTTTGTATCTGGTGAGTCGCTGCTCCCCATTTCCGCTTTCCCCAGCCCCTGGCAACCACGTGTCCTCTGCTTCTGACTTTGCTTTCAGTTCCTCTTGTAAGGGGATCTGGCAGTATTTGCCCTTCTGTGACTGGCTTAGTTCACTTAGCATAATGTCCTCGAGGTTCATCCAGTTGTCACATTTGTCTGACAGGATTTCCTTATCTTTTTAAGCTGAATATTTCATTGTATGTTACACCACGTTGTCTAATCCCCGGGTGCACATGCAGGGTGTTCATACATCTCGACTCTTGGTAAGACCCCCGCAGTGAACAAGGGGGCGCAGACATCTCTCTGAGATGCCAATCTCAACTCTTTCAGATAAATAACCAGAAGTGGAATTGCCGGGTCCTGTGGTAGTTTTATCTTTATATTTGGGGGCGGGGGGTCACACACTGTTTTCCGCTGCAGCTGCACATTTTACACTTCCACCCACAATGCACAGGGGTTCAACTGCGTCCTCAATACCATCTGTGAACCTTCAGTATTTTTTGGTACAACAGCCATCCTAACAAGAACGAGGTTATATTTGTTGTGGTTTCAGTTTGCATTTCTCTGATGATTAGTGAGGTGAGCATCTTTATACACATCTTTTCAGGCATTAATAATGCCTTAATATCATCCAGTATCCAATGAAGTTTCACATTTGGGGGAAATTAGAAAAAAAATGTCCTAGGCCCCCTCCAGACCTGCTGAACCATGATCTCTGTATTTCAACGAAGTCTGGGCTGGTTCTTCCAGGGCCCGGCTTGGGGCACCTGTCACACCCAGCACCTCCCACTGGGCACATGTCCAGTGACCAGGAACTTCCTTTAGGAGACAGTTGTCACTGTAGAAAATGCCTTCTTTTACAACTGTGTTGCTCTTAGGAGAGGCAAAACCTGAATGTCTTTTCCTTTGAAATAAGGAATTCAAACACTCAGATAAGGCTGAAGGGCCCCTGGACCGCAACACCCAGCGAGGGTTCCAGCCCCCTGCTCCCAGAAGCATCACAGTTTGGTCAGAATCTTTCTACACTATTTTCCGTGCCTTCAACGTTTCTCCTCTGGCCGTGCCCCTAACTTGTCTCCCTGGGGTCCCTGAGTTTTTACACCTGCTCCGCTCCTGAATCACTTGGGCCAAAACTCGAAGATGGTTCTGGTGGCCTCTCCAGTTTCTCCTTCTCCAGCCCAGTGTCCCCTTTTTCCCTTTTCCTTGACAAGGTCACAGTCTTGTCAAGGTTCAGGCCTGGCTCTCTGGGCCCTGGCATCTCACACACAGGGCTGGAGTTCTCACCAAGGCTCCGCCCCCCCCCCACCTGTGGGTGTGTGAAGAGGAGGAGGTGCGGGTGGAGTTGAAGCAAGACTGGCCTTGAACTGGTGATATTGCAGCTGGGGGAGGGGCGGGGGGGGCATGTTACAGAAGTCCGTCTTCTCCAGTGGATGTTTCTATTTTCCATGAGGGAGAGTGGAAGGTAAAACACAGGCCTAGCAGAACAGCCAAAATCCGAAACACTGAAAACACCACACAGTCTCGAGGCTGTGGGGCGGCGGGAACTCTCATTCCTGGCTGGTGGGGATGCGAAAGGGTGCGGCCCCTCTGGAAGAGGGCTCGGAAGCTTCTTACAAAATGCAACATATTTTTACAATGCAATCCAGTGGTCATGCTCCTTGGGGTTCACCCAAAGGAGTCGAGCGAGAGCTACGCCCACCCAGAACCCATAGGTGGGCGTGGACAGCAGCTTAATCGTCGAAACCTGGCAGCATCCAGGGTGTCCTCTTGTAGGTGACTGAATAAATAAACTGCGGTGCATCCGGACTGTGGAATATTACTCAGCACTAAAAAAAAAAGAGCTATTGAGCCACATGGAGGAACACGAATGCACGTTACCAAGGGAGAGAAGCCCGTCCGAAAAACCTGCCCGCCGCGTGATTCCGTCTCGACGCCTTCCTGGGAAAGGTCCAACCATGGGGACAGGAGCAGGACCGGTGCTCGCCAAGGTTTTGGGGGGCAGGGTGAGGGGGGCACAGGCAGAGCACGGAGGAAGTTTGGGGCAGGGAAGCTCGTCTGCAGGACACCATCATGACGGCTACGTGGCATCATTACACAAACCCAGAGCAGGTGCCCCACCAGGAATGAGCACTGCCCTGAACTGTGGGCGTCGGTGACAAGGACACCTCGGCCCAGGTCCATCGCCCTAACAAATGTCGCGCCCTGGCGGGGGAAATCGGTGATGGGAAATCTCTGTCCCTTCCTCTCCATACAGCTGTGAACCTAAACCTGCTCTTTAAAAAAAAAAATTGTCTTCATTGAAAAAAGAGTTTAGGGGTGGTCCAGCCCCACGCACTGCACCGGACCCCTGCGCCCGCCGGCAGGGGCTCTGCCCTTGGGGAGACCTGTGGGAAGCAGGCGGAGCCCCCCCTTCCCGAATGCTGGGCCCAGGCACAGGAAGGTGGCCTGCCTCCCCCACTCACGCCCCCGCGGCCTCCCTTCTGGTCACAGCCTCTGTCATCGGCTGGTCCGGTCCAGGGCGAGCGCCTGGCGCTGAGCCAGGTGTGACAGTCTCTGTCACCAGCTGCTGTGATCCCAGCATTGCTCTTCCTCCTGAGAGACATGTGATTAGTTTTCATTACTAGATAACAATCACACCAAGATTTCTTCTTTGCCTCGGTACGGAAAGCCCCCAACCCTGTGCTCCTGTCCGGAGCGAGCAAATTTAACCTGATGAATTACCCTCCTCCGCCCAGATCCATAAGCGGAGCCCTCATATTTGTCTGATGTGTGGTTCTCGGGCTTGTTTCACTGTCCGCAACGACGCGGAGAGGCCAGGCGGGGCCTCGGCGCATTATTTACATCCGAGCCGGGGCTCCA